TAGTGAAGGAGTGCTCCAACAAAGGAGAATGGGCGTGACTGACGTAGTGAGGGGCGACGTAGCGATGTGGTATCCTGAACAATTTTAATATTTTTAACGTTTGACAATGTATATGATAGATACATATTTTAGTTATTTTAATGTGTGAACATGGCATGCAATGAACTGGTTTGACGTGGACAAGTAAGCACCTGAAGATGGCATTATTATGCCGAAACATGTAGTGCGAGGGAAAGAAGGAGATAAATGAATGTATGCACTGCAAGACGGATTAAATAAATCATGGACTCCAAATGTGTATTTGCTATAATAATAATATCACGAAGAACAGAATATAAAATATGGATACCGCTATTAGCCCGACAACAAAATGATTGCAATAGAGTATCAGCCACCTGCGGTAGGCTCTGTTTGCTTTACTTTTCGACCTTAAAGATGGGAAGAGCACGATTCCGCAAAACGACGTTTAACGATGCTTCTACTCTTCCTTGCTTTCCTACCTTTTCCTACTGCTCTCTACCCTTCCTGCTTCCTACCGCTACGTTCAAGCAGAAACAGCACTTCACAGGTAGACCAACATAGTCGGAATTGTGATAGAACTTCTCTATTCGAATGAAATTTCTTATCGAACTGGTTGTCAGTCCTGTCCCGCCACATTTTTAGAAAGTGCGGTTGTGATATGGCCTGATATAAGTCGATTCTGTGATTTCAAGCATTTGAGGGTTGGTTGAATGTTAGTACGATTGAGCTGCCTAAGCGTTTTGTATAAGTATGAAGATTGTGGGACATATTGAAATACACAACCGCTCCCTTTCCTCCCTGAATATTCCAGGGAAAGGACGCAGTCAGTGGTCTTCCCTAGCCATTGGAAAGCAACCAGGCACAGAAGCAGAATTGTTTATAGTGCACCAGTCAGCTCAGAATAAGTTAGGAACAAAATACAAGGTAAGAAAGTAGGTTTAGAGAGAAAGGGTCAGTGTGAAAATAAATTACATGGACTGCGTGACAATACACTGCAGTACATATCATTTGAAAGGTTTTTCCTTTATATTTGTAGGTGAAGAAAAATATTGAACAGATATTCACCCGTTTTGTAAACGAAGGAAAGGCAACTATCAGATTCAAGTATCCACCTCATGACATCTGCATTAAATGCGACTCCTTGCAACTGAAACCTTTTCTACAAACATTGAAACTTGGTTTAGAAGAGACAGTTCCTACAAAAACTTTGAAGCTATCCAATATCACTTGTACATCCAAAGTGCCACCTATACCAAAAACGAAACTTGTTGTATTATCCAAAGCAGCATATCCTGCTCTGGAGGGATTTCCCAGAACTCTGCAAATATTGAAGGTAAAATATGCTGACATATTCATATTGTGGTCTTGTAGGTTTATAACAGTGCTTAAGGGGAACATTCAGAGCCTTTGCATACAGGAAGTCAGATGTTAGAAATCATCTCCTTTTCCTCCTGCAAGGTTCCAGGTGAAGGAATGTTGTCTCAGGAGGTAGTAACTATCTTGTCCTGGCAGAGGACCTTCTTCCTTTCCATCAGGGCATGTGTAAGAAGATCCTATCACCTGGGGAGGATGATGTTCTTTCTCATATTGTTAGGGTGGGGCTTAATTTCTATCACTTCTATGGCAAGATGGCTCCTGTGCCTGGATTTCTTGGCCAGGATGTTCCAGATGTTAGTGTTGCTGAGGAAGATATGATTATGCTTAATTCAGTGTGGCGACTCACATGGTCAGGTGGACAATACAGACTGCTTGTTCACTACAAGGTGGTGTGACCTAGCATTTGGCTTGCTTCACTGTGTGTACATACCACTATTATGAAACTTGAACATCAACTACTGCTGAGAAATATTGACCATTACATGACTAAATTTATTTTCTTGTGAAGTTGCAATTACAGAAGAAAAAGAGGGAATAACCATCAGGGGGATGGGTACACACACACACACACACACACACACATACTAGTGCTTGAGAGAATAAATATCACACAAAGATCTGAGTTTAGGCTATACCATTTCTAAAGTACCAAAATGGAGAACGTTGTGTCTTGATGCTCCATTTGAATTTTCTGTACTCATTACACATTTGTTTCTATTTTTGTTCTAGATAAACTATGCAGAACAGAAAAGGTTTGATACTAAGATTCTGCGCTTACAGAAACTTAAAGTACTAGACTTGAGCCACAATGACCTGACATCCCTACCAGAAGAGCTGGGAACGCTTTCTTTAGATTGTTTATGCCTTTCTCACAATAAATTTGGTGAAACTCCAGCCCAGGATCCAAGATGGAACTGGATCAGTGGTTTCAGATTGGCTAAATCATTGGAGGTGCTGGATCTCAGCCATAATGAGGTATTGCTTGGAATTTTACCTCTTCATGTTCTCAGTTGTACTACTGTTGTGTGTTTTCAGTTCAGAATTTAGAAAGAAACCAGTAAATTAAAACCTGATTATTTATATTCTGGTTACAGTGGCAGGCCCGAAAGAGAGATTAAGCATTATCATCGTCATTAATATAAGATTAGTCTCAAACCTGCACCAGCTCAAACAAAGATATTTACCATACTGCCTCAAACACAAAGGAACATGAATTAATATAGAGTGTGCAGATGTATATGAACATTTGGGTTATGGAATTTTGCCCTTAAACTTATTAAAATACATGATTATAGAAGTTGTGTTTGGACCATAAATTCATCTTTGCCGAAGTTTGATATAAATATTCAAACTTTTTTTTTAGCAACATGCGAAGCAACAGCAAATTCAATCATAATCTTAAAAAGTGATAGTTTTTAATAAATTAAAATTACATATGTGCATGTGTCAGTGATGTAGGTGGATGGCTTGTAGTGTGGTTGCGATTCCCATCTAATTTTAGGTTGTATATTCTGTTATGCTTTTACATAAAATTAACATATCTCTATATATGCCATCACATTAAAAGGACAGGTAACTTTTTTAAGTTTTTTCTTTGTGCAAGTAATCTCTGATGGGTAAAATGTGGTTTTATCACAATTGTGGATTGAAAATAACATTGCAGGAACACATATCCACTTATTACATGGGAGACAGTGGTAAAAATAGGGATTGCTCTACAGAATTTTATGAAATGTTCACATTTTCAAGAATATGTCCCTTTATTTCTGTAGGACAAAGGTATATGCTGTACCAGAATAATTTCCTTTCAATTTTTATTTTCAGAGATTTATTCTCCCACTTCTTTTTTTTTCAGTTAAAGCTGCTACCGAAACAAATATCCAAGTTGAAAAAACTCGTTATTCTGAAAATTGAGAGGAATCAGCTAAGCCAGTTGCCTCCAGGTTTAGGAAATCTTTCAAATCTCAGGTAAGTATAAAGGGACCAGTAGTAGACTTTTGTGAACGTGGTAATGAACCTTCATGTTCCATAAAAAGTGGGGAATATCTCACCCTTTGAATAACTACTGACTTCTTCAACACTTTCTCCATACTCAGAATAATAACATACAGTCAACTCTCGATTATCCGGGGGCGGATTAACCGGTTNAATGCTCTAGGTCAGTGTTCCGCAACCTTTTTCTACTCGTGGCACACCATGAAGTATCCATGACTCAACACGGCACACCAAAATGTTATTCCCCTCAAAAACGCATGATATCAGACAATTAATATAAATACGCAACGTGATCAACTTAGTATTATAATATTATTATATTGTTATTTTATTATCATTAAACAGAAATTGACTCGTGCGTTTATTAACAATTAATGAACTTTAATTCACTATAGAGTGTAGAAAATACACTTCTATTACTTTTAAAGTAAATACAGTAATTCTACTCATAACTTCAATGTGATACTTGCGCCTGCGTAGCTGTACACAGGCGACTGATCCGTGGTGGAATCGTTGACAACGCAAGCCTCATTTCTTCATTGATGGATTTGAGCCGCTCCCTCTTTGATGTCTTAATTTCAGTCCACACAAATATGTAGTTGAAAATGGCAAAAACACATTAACTACCATCTCAGAGATAGCCGGGTATTCACTCCTTATTGCCAACCAAAACGTATCCAAAAGCACTTCGAGAAGTTTTAGTTTCAATGTTCTGTCTGCTTTTAAATCTGCGAATTACTCTTGTATATTAATAGGAAAATGTTCTGAATTCGCAACGAATGGATCATGAACCCAGTCAAAATCTTGTAAACTCTCTCCAAAATACTTATTGAATTTCTGCTGCAGCATTTCTAAATGTTCTTTAATTGTGTCCATCACCACTTTATTGCTGTCAGCAAGTGACCATACAGTCGGGAACATCTAAACACACTGTATAAGGAATTTATCCATCTTGAAAAAATAAAGTAGTCTAATAGTAATAGAAAATAGCAAGACTAACTAGCAACCACAATTTTTGAACTACTTCAGAGCACAGCTGTGATAGAACTGAAACAATTGTAAGACACGGGACCTCTGCTCTTCAAATGGAAGAAGTGACACATACCGACTTATTTTTGAAATATTTATAATTTTAAATGAAGTCCAATAATCGGTGGGTGCATCGTTACAGGAAGAAAGTCATAAAGTTGAAGAAGCTCTAACTTCTAGCAAACAGGGGCAAATACCAAAACAGCGCTATAAAAGCCAGGGAAACCCTTGCTAATCCCTGCAGTTTTAGGAAAGAGCACGTACACAGAACATGCTGCAAGTATATCAAAGAAGCCACGTAGATGCGAGAAAAACAAAAATAAATCAATAATGAAAACTATGATATAACAACAACTGTGAGTAAATAATTTATGTTTAATTTCTTAGAATACAACATTACTGTACATAAAAAATCACGGCATGTAATAAAGAATAAACAAGCCTTACCTTATTTAATCAGTGTAGTGGCTGAGAATAAAATACAAGCATATGAAACTTGGTAACTGGGATAAAACAAAACAAATAAAATTCGACAATTAATTTCTTACAATAAGTAAAAGTTCGCGTCACACCGACGGCACACAGGTTGCAGAACACTGCTCTAGGTGATACAGTGCCAAAATATGGAGGAAAAATCATAGAAATGTAAGATTTGAGGATTCAAACAGCCATGAATGTTAAAATTATCTTCTTTATGGATGTGAAACCATGTATTTTCCTACATGGGTACCAGCATTTCAGAAGGACCTCCTGCCTCCATCTTCAGGGTACCTATATACCAGACTACAAGGCATCACGTCCAAGAGAACTGTAATCTTAAATACAAAGTAGCAAAATTATGTACAGGTCCTTGGTGTGTGGACATAACAGACTGTGCTACCTGCCTGGCAGCATAAAGAGGTTGCACTTGGACTCCATAGACTTGGCATCCAACTCATTTGAATCTGTGATAAATATGAGAAATGCAAACAATCTGGGAGTCCCCAGTCTTGTAGAGTGTGCTGCAAGGAAAGTTATCAACTGTAGGTATGTATTAAATGCATTAGTCATTGGTGTAGAGCATTTTAGGTTTTCAAAAGATATGTTATGGGTGTTAGTGCTGCTTGTACAGCTGTTGGATGTATGAGTAGTTTGAGCATCACTGTACAAATTTTGTATGTCAAGTTACAAGTCACACAGCTGTCATACCATAATAATTTGTGTACTCATCTGCATTCTTCCATTCTATAAAGTATATTTCTAAGTCTCAAAACTAAAAGACCCTATACTGAATGGCACTAGAGTTGATCCCACCACAGTAGTTCACACAGCTGCTGTGATAACATTTAAGACAGGAACTTAAGCAGTACAAAGATTAGTTTCCTAGAGGTGCACATTCATTTAAAATGGCTCAAGTAGTAGTTTCAGATATTTATGTTGAAGGAAATCAGTGGACAGACAAATGGGATGATTCATGTAACTCACGCAAGTGTTCCATCAGGAGAACTATATTCCTGTGGAATAACAAAATAAAGCCAGAGCTTCAATAAATTTAAATTAAATCTGGATGCTTACTGTGTTATCATGACATTCTTTCTATAGACTAACATCACATATATACGAGGGTCGTACTGAAAGTCATGAACAACAATTTTTTGTAAAGTAACATGCTTTATTATTGACAAACCAAATATGCCACCTCAATCTACAGACCTTTCTTTATTTTTCAACATAATCGCCACTTCTTTGTACACATTTCTCCCAGAATTCTGGGAGTTTGAAAATTCCCCTTCTGTAAAATTCTGTTCCAGCCATCTGAAGACACTGATGCACTGCTTTGTGAATTGCCTCCCTTGTCTCAAAACGTTGTCCACGCAGCTGATCCTTCACAAATCCGAAAAGATGGTAGACGGAGGGTGCCAGATCCGGGCTATAGGAGGGGTGTGGAAGAACTTCCCACCCCATCTTTGCAATTGCTTCCAATGTGAGGCGAGTGGCATGGGGGCGAGCGTTGTCATGCAGGATGATGATGTTTCGTTGCGGACGTTTATCGCGCAATGCACAACGGAGCTTGTGCAGCGTCTGGACATAACGAGCAGCATTGATGGTTTGCCCAGGTTCCAGGAATTTGGCCAGAATAAACCCCTCTGCTTCCCAGAAGACTGTGCCCATCACCTTCACAGCTGATGGCACTGTCTTTGCCTTCTTTTTTGATGGAGAATGCAAATGGTGCCATTTCATACTCTGCC